CGGGAAGCTTTGATGTTATTGGCCTCAACCCAGTCATTATGTTCTGGTCCAAAGTCTTTCCATTTAATCAGATAGTACAACCGACCTCTAGGGGTGTGCAAAAAAATAAATAATTCGGCCCGATTCAGATTCGGCGGAATAGGGCAGAATCAATTTCTGCTGACAGAAAGACTCCCATTGTATCCTACGGGCTATTGAAGTAAATGGTGAAAACATGGGGTATATTCTGGGGGATGGAGGGGAGGGGGTTTGAGGAAGAGGCTCCAAACTTGCTGGATGGCTGCTGGAACCTCTCCCAAAGATACCTACAATGTTTCAAGAACATTGTACCAGGGGGCCCAATTCTATGGGCCCCCAAACAGGTTGCCCATCCCCTCCATTGTTCTCTATGGTGGGAAAAAGGTACTTCCCCCCATGGTGCTGTTAGTGGCTCTGGGGGGGCGGGTTTGAGGGAGAGGCTCAAAATTTTCAGGGTAGCTTTGGGAGCCTCTCCCCAGATAAAACACAATGTCCCAAAGCAATTGGACCAGTGGTCCCAATTCTATGGGCACCCAAACAGGTTACCCCCCATTACCTCCATTGTTTCCAATGGGGAAACCCAGTCAGCAGCACTAAAGGCAGGCAAGCAGGCAGCACCCAGCAGTCAAACTCTCCCAGAGAATCTCAGGGAAAGTGAACTGTCTTGGGAGGTGCTTGTTTGCCATGAGAACAAGTGGCACATTCCGGAACAAGTGGCACTGTGGCAGTGCAAGCATGCCACAGCGCCACACAGAAACCCCAAAAGACCAACGGGAACAACATTTATACAGGGCCTGCCCTGTATAAATTGATGGTGCAACCTCATTGGACCACTCACACACACACACCCCTCAAAAAGAATATTTGTAGCACTGGAAAAAATGCAGAAAAGGGCAACTGCAATGATAAGAGGACACTTTCCCTGTGAAGAAAGGTTAAGGTGCTTGAGGATCTTAGCTTTGAAAAACAATGACTGATGGGTGACATGGTAAGAGTTTTACAAGGCTATGCATGGGATAGAGCAGGTAGAGAAAGAAGTACTTTTCACCCTTTCTCAAAAGACAAGAACTCACGGGCACTCCATGAAATTGCTGAGCATTAAAATATTTAACAAGAAGAGTTAAACAAAAGAAAGAGACAAATAGAATCATGGCTATAAAAGATAAAAAGGGAAATTTAAACTTTACTACTGAAAGTATAACAAAACAATTTTTAGAA